TTGATTCACGTTGTTTTCCGAGACGCGTTTATTGGTAGGGAGAAGTAGGCGATGTTATTGGACGCTAGTTTCTTGGGACGAGACCCTTGAACTCCGGATCGAAATTATCACACTCCGTAGGCCCGGACATTATTGTCGTCCATGAACACGAGGGGGAATAGGAGTCTGGGAAAGTGATCATGGATACTCAATGGCCGAGGGGAGACATGATCGCCTCAGAGAGAACTTGCGATGGTCGAATATTGTGTTTCCATCGTTTGCCCTGTCTTACCGCACCAACTCGTCGAGAGCTAATGCAATACGACAGTGAACCGTGGTGCATGATGGCCTCTCACAAAACTGCGGAGGTTGCACCCACGAGCTGAAAGGGAAGCGAACGCGGCGGTAAAAGGGTATCGCCCGTTTCTTGCATACAGAAAGAAGCCTCCGGCACAGGCGGTCTGCGATTTGAGCTTTGTTTCGAGGGCATGTGGCTCTGAGATGAATGCACATGTCCGATGTTCAGTATTTACTGGCCAGGCCTCACCGAGATGTTGAGCTCTGCTCTGCGACGGACCCAGACCGGAGCCAATTGAGCTTAGACCATTGATAATTTCAGAGATTCTAGAACCCTGACGTAGTTGGCCAATGTATTTCGCATGTAACTCCCTGTAAAAAACACAACCCCTCGGTGGGGTCCCCTCCGAAGCACCTCCGGTGTGGTAGTGAGCGAGTGAGTGAGTGGTGCGAGAAGAGTCACCCTGAGCCAAGCTAGGTAAAATTTGTGTCTACAACTGAATCTCTCTCTCGCTCGCTCCATCTCATATACCTTCTCTCTACCTTTCAACGCACATCACCGTCTTCAGCCTCGTGGCGCTCGTATTGAAGTTTCTTTTGACTCACCTCGGTCGCCTACTCCGTTGAGCTTCACTGAAATACTATATCTCTTCCCTCCAAAAGGTAGATCGAACTGTGCCCCTCCATATCAAAATTTCAACTTTGGACAAGTCCAGCAGCTCACATATACACAATGCCTTCAGCCGTAGAAATGGTCAGTATCGCTGCCGATGACACCAGAGGTCAGTTTTCCCCCATGAACATTGTTGTTCCTTGGAAATTGCGCTGCAATTGGGCACCGAGAAGTCATGATGCGCTCTGTGGCAGCTCTCCTTGCAGCGCAATGCTTCAGTACCTTGGAGGCGACACAGAGAGCTTCTTTTTCTGCAGTTGGCTCTGGGCTCACAGCATTCTGAATTGCAACAAACCCCCACGCTGTATTCGTAACACACCAAGAACCGCAGCTAATTCGAACTAGTCCTCGGACAGGATCCTTTGATCCCTCCCGCTCTTCTCACCTCCGAGATCCCTCTCCCCGAGAAGGCCACGAACACCGTTGTCAAGGGTCGTCAAGATGCTGCCGACATTGTCCTTGGCGAGAGCGACAGACTCCTCGTCGTTGTCGGCCCCTGCTCCATTCACGACCCTGCCGCCGCTCAGGAATACGCTTCCAGACTCAAGGAGCTCTCTGACAAGCTCTCCGACGATCTCTGCATCGTGATGCGCGCCTACCTCGAGAAGCCCCGAACAACCGTTGGCTGGAAGGGTCTCATCAACGATCCCGATATCGACAACTCTTTCAAGATCAACAAGGGTCTCCGTGTTTCCCGCCAGCTGTTCGTTGACTTGACCAGCAAGGGTCTACCTATTGCTACCGAGATGCTCGATACCATTTCTCCCCAGTTCCTTGCCGACTGTATCTCCGTTGGTGCTATTGGTGCCCGTACTACCGAGTCCCAGCTGCACCGTGAGCTTGCTTCCGGCCTGTCTTTCCCTGTTGGTTTCAAGAACGGCACAGACGGTAGCCTTGGTGTTGCCATTGACGCTATTGGCGCTGCTGCTGCTCAGCACCACTTCATGGGTGTCACAAAGCAAGGCCTTGCTGCTATTACCCGCACCAAGGGTAACGAGCACTGCTTCGTTATTCTCCGTGGTGGAACCAAGGGCACAAACTTCGACAAGGAGAGTGTCCAGGCTGCCAAGAAGGTCCTTCAGGACAAGAAGCAGAAGGAGGCTATCATGATTGATTGCTCCCACGGTATGTTTCCGAACTATAACAATCGAGCTTGAGATACTAACATGGGTCAGGTAACTCTTCCAAGAACCACAAGAACCAGCCCAAGGTTGCCAAGGTCGTTGGTGAACAACTTCGGGAGGGCGAGAAGGCCATCATTGGTGTCATGATCGAGTCCAACATTGGCGAGGGTAACCAAAAGGTTCCCGCCGAGGGTCCTGCTGCTCTCCAGCGTGGTGTCAGCATCACTGATGCTTGCATCAACTGGGAAGACACAGCCGTTGTGCTCGAGGACTTGGCTGATGCTGTCCGCACTCGCCGCAAGGTCAACCGCTCTTAGAAGGTTGCACCTGAGGAGTAGAAGGAGTGGAATACGAGGATTTAGTTCAAAAATGCTGTGTTGTTTTGGGAGTTATTGAATAGACCTAGGTAGACAGGTCAGGTGATGGAAAAGTCGGCGCACATAGGTTGCATGGAAATTGGCACAATGCCTGATCTTTTTATCATATACACTCATGAATACCGGACATTACCAAAGGGGTCAACTGACCTCCTGTAAACTTCAGATAACCCAAGGACGCCAGACTCCTCTACCGAGTGACGGAACCACAGATACCACACCTATCCAGACACAGAGGAGTAAGATGCTCTCTCCTTTATCGTCTCATCGGAAGTTCCCTTGCATAGGAGCGTAATTGCTGCCCTGTCTCCCAAATGTAGGCCCCTGGCGTAACGCCACAACCTTCTTGAACGCAGCCCAGCCCAACAACCCAACAGTGCCAATGATGAAAGCCCATACGATGATCTTGTCTTTGTTGCTATCACGTTGAAAGCACATGGTCGTGACGTCCTCCTCTGTCGCGTCCTTGCAGAAGTCAATGCCCTGCTTGAGACAAAAGGCCTTGGTACATTCGGAACATGATTTCGATTTCGAGCGTGGCTCGAGATGGGGGGTCGAGAAATCGAGGACGGCGCGACGGAGCTGTGATGAGGATGTCTCGCCTTTGGGACCGAGGGGGATGATGGTGCTGTTCTTAAAGCATGTGCATTTACAGAAGGTTGGTGCGGCTGGGATGTGTTAGCTTTGTTCAGTGTAGATGCCTGTTGTACTAACACGCTGCGGCAAGCGAGATCAAAGCTCCCAGCAGGAGGATGAATAGAGATATTCGTGCCATTACGGCTAGTTTGGGCTGTAGATAATGTCTTATCGATCATGGAGGTTGCACGTCAATCACTTGAGGCTATCGATAGTTGACAACAAGTGGGCCGGTCAGAGTATCCACTTCAGCCTCGTAAGCTCCCATTGGCCAATAGAACCACACTGGAAAAAGTTCCATATTGAAGCCGGTCTCTAACCGTCTCATCATCACGACTTCTTTCGGCTTTCTCTCAGTCCGCCGATTCGTCACGTAAAAATGCCTCGAATACCGCGGGTAGGGGCCCTAGCCTCTCTTCCATCGACAGTCGTCCCTGTAAACCGAGTTCCCTTCGTTGCCCGCGTCGCCTTCTCAACAACCCCCGTCCACGCAGCCGGTCGCAAGGCCGAATGGCTTCGAGATAAGCTGTGGAAGGGTGAAGCTCCTGGAGGCGATGATCCTTATCAAGAGAGAGTAGAACCAGAACAGACATCAAACTTGCCAGAGGAGGCCTTGGATCTATCAAATGTCGACCGCAGACCATACTCTGTACGCACCACTCGTCTCGTGCTGCCTCCAAGCCATTCCGAAGCCATTACCGAGAAGGAAGTCGAGTCTGTCGACACCGAATATACCCCTGCGACTTCAATTGATGATTTGGAGGAGATTTCACCCGTCAAGACATGGTGGGATCAACCAGGCCACTGGGGTGAGGAGAGCGAGTTCCAAGGTTTCGGCAGCGCAAAACGAGTAGAGGATCAAGCTGTTATGGAGATTTACGTACGCCAAGCTCTGGTCGAGTCACTTTCATACCAGCAGCGAGGACTTCTTGAGGAATATGCGGTAAAGAAGTGGCCTTTTGGTGACAGGGCCCACCTAGACCGAACATTGTCCGTGGGAATTCGATTTAAGGATGGAAAGCCTCTTCTTAGCACTCATTGGAGTGCCGTCACCGAGAAGCTGAAGCATACTAGGCCCGGATTGATTGAGGAAAAGGTTGAGATTTCTCCGGAGGAGGCTCAGCAGATGGTTAATGCTCTGGACCCCTCATGGAAGACTGCCACTCTTGACAATGACCACCTCAAGTTTGCTGTATGTGTCTACCTCTCCCAGAAGTGATTTGTACTGACAATATGCAGATCCGCAAGCGTATCTACCAACTCACAGGCCATTTCATTCCCGACGTCAAGGTTGCCGCCTCCCGCACACCACAGGAGCTCATCACTGTAGCCCTAACATTCGCCAAGCGGGGCAAGAAGCTCGCCGAGGTTCTGGAGGACCAGAAGGCCCTGTTCGCACTTCCTAACGTCAAGGTGCACAACAGGAGAGTCACACCTATTGACCGTGAGGTTGCTGTTGGTCGCTGGAAGATTATTGAGGAGGAGTTGCAAAAGCGAGATCTGCCTGTCACTGGCACAGGGAAATATGGCAAGAATATGGAAAGGGATTGGCTGACTGGTAAGGCTTAAAAGTTCATGCGAGGCGTATGAACAAAGGTGATGAATGACTGTATATCTGTACATGTATAATAGATGAACAAAGAAATCTTGCATTGATCTGCTCCTGCTGTGATACAGTCTGGCCAACTATATATTGACTACGCGCGCAGCCGACATCCCCGGCCTTTGCCATTGTATAGAAACAGTTTTGAAGCACTTTTGCAGTGCCTCTTCAGCACTCCTGCATGAGGGAAGACCATATCAGTATGGCACAAGCATATAGCAGACTGGTAAGATGGTTACTTATTTGAACTTGCTCATTCATGCAGATGCAGCCATGCTTGAGCATCTTGTCTCTTTCTTTATGCAATTATTTTACAGGTATTTGTTCTTGCGTAGCCACTCCTTGACATCCTCCTTATCCCTTGCGAGCCAGTTTTGCTTCGCGGTCATAGAATCAAGACTCTGGGCTAGCTCAAGGTCAAATCCCTTGGTGCCCTTCTGCTCAAAGAAGCTCTTGACATCGGAAATCTGGTCCTTGTGTGTGAGAGAGCTTGTAGAAATGGCGACCATATCGCCAAGGAGTGACATGCCAGGTGGGAGTCGCTTGGTGAGAACGTCCCAGTTGTCCTTGACCCATCCCCAAAGGGCCAAGATACCCTCCTTGTGAGCGCGGAGACCGCTGAGAGGCATGTAGATATCCTGCGTCTTGACGTTATCACTGAGAGTGTACTCCAGAGTTCGCTTGATAAGCGCAGGATCCTTTGCAAAACCAAGTGATCGGAGAGCAGTGTTTCGCTCACTGCTTTGCTTAGCAGTTTCATATTCTTTCAAGATATCGTTGTACTCCTTTTCGCCTCCATAGGTAACCACAACAGCGAAAACACTAGGCCGCAAGTTGGGCTGTACAGCATCTCGATCGCCATTGATGAACTTTTCGAACAGTTCGAAAGCGGCCTTTTTAGTAGGCTCGTCCTCAACAATGGCGGCCTTACCGAACATGAGAGCCTTCATTCTTTGGGCAGTGAAGTCATCCTTGTCAGAAATATCCCAACCAATTTCGTTAGCTCTCTTGCTGACCAGATCCCTCTGGAAAGTCTTGAGAGCCTCATTAACATCATCATCTTCAAAGATCCAAGCATCACGGAGAGATCCGACACGGAGAGTGATCTCATCCCAGACAATGAACTCGTCTTCAGAGTCGAATTCTTGGAGAAGCGACAGCAGGCCAGATGTCTTTTGATAACCAGCAGCGGCAAGGGCACCGGCATCAGCAATCATACCGGCCCTATCCTCAACACCCAAGAGACCCGCCTTGGCGTTTTGACCAAGCTTTTGAAGTCGCTCGCTAGTATAAGATGTACGGTAGATACCAGAATGGCCAGAGTTAATCTTGTAGAAGTCAAAGTCAGGCACCTTGAAGTCTGCCTCACGTGTGTTGAGTGCCAGATCTTCCTGGATACCGTCCTTAGTTCGAAGGTTGAGGAAGACGGGGTAAAGGACTTCATCCTCCTCGGGCTTGACATCGGCCGTTCTAAGGAACCGGTTCTGCTCGACATGGATTGTGCCCTTGCCTTCGTCTTCTGTGACAGCTACGACTGGATAACCGACCTTCTTGGTCCAGATGTCAGCAACGCGCTCAACATCCTTACCACTGGCCTCGCTGAGAGCGGCCCAAAGGTCTGTGGTCTCAGTGTTGCTGTATGCGTGTCTGTCGAGGTAGATTCGGATACCCTTTAGAAAGACGTCCTCACCCAAGTATTTTGAGATCATACGCAGGACACAAGAACCCTTCTCATATGAGATAGCATCGAAGATTTGGTTGACCTCATCAGCACGCTTGACAGGCACTTCAATGGGGTGAGAGCTGCGCAGAGAGTCAAGACCAAGGGCAGATCGAAGATCCTCTGTAACATAACCTTCCCAAATCCTCCACTCGGGGTAAAAAGCGTTAGATGAATACCAAGACATCCATGTTGCGAAACCTTCTTTTAGCCACAGGCCATCCCAGAAGTCCATTGTGACCAAGTTGCCGAACCACTGATGAGCCAGCTCATGTTGAACGACCTCAGCCACCCGCTTTTTGGTGACGGCGCTGCTGGTCTTTTCATCCAATAGAAGGTCAACGACTCGATATGTGATGAGACCCCAGTTCTCCATGGCACCAGCAGCAAAGTCGGGCACAGCAACCATGTCCATCTTGGGGAGTGGATATTGGCTGCCAAATTGCTGCTCATAGAACTCGAGTGTTCGTGCAGCTAGCTCGGCGGAAAAGACGGCATGGTCAAGGTCTTGATCGGGAGTGCACCACACGCGGATAGGGACTCGAAAGTTGTTAGTCTCGTAGGACTTGAGGTCACCAATGACGAAAGCCAGAAGGTAGGTAGACATGATGGGAGTCTTGTTGTAAGTAATAGCCTTGCGCTTCTTGCCTGTAACCTTGGAGTCGACTTCTTTCTCAGAAGCGACATCCATGTTGCCCAAGCATACCAGGTCCTTGTCAGCAATGAGTGTCACGGTGAATGTCGCCTTCAGAGCTGGCTCGTCCAGGCAAGGGAATGCACGGCGAGCGTCGGTGGCCTCGAACTGGGTGGTAGCAAGGTATTTGGTGTTGCCATCTTCGTCCTTGTATGATGACCTGTAGAAACCTGCCATGTCATCGTTGAGAGTACCAGTGAAACGTTGAGTCAACCTCGCCTTTTGACCAGCGGGAATCGTCTTATCGAAGGTAACGGTGGTGGTTTGGGTGTCCTTGTTGTAATCGAGGGTAGGCGAGGAGCTAATAGTGGCACCATTGGCCTCAACAAGTGTCTCGTGGATATCAATTTCGACCGTGTTCAGGGCAATAGAGGTTGAATCTTCGACGACATCGAAGTCGATAATGACGGTACCTTCATACTTGAAGGTCTCGAAGTTTGGCTCGAGGGTAAGATCGTAGTGCAGGGGCTTGACATTCTTGGGAAGAACTTCACGTCCACGACGAATGTCGAGACTCGCGCTAGCGACATCGTTTCCGTTGCGATACATGGCTCGTCGACAAGAGCAGTTACGCTGCTGCTGACGAGGGACGAGAGAAGAGGCTTTTGAGTTGTGGAGAGTTTGGGTGAGAGCCGATCTAGGGGAAGAAGCTGTGGTAAAGGTAGATGAGAGAAAGGAATGTAATTGAGAGCGGTGAAGAGGTTGATACGGTGTTGTTATAGAAGGAGCTGACCCGTAAGTTGAGGCTCTAGCTCTTGAGCTGATGCGGGGGAGGGGTCCTGAATGGAAGGTGCGACGGATCATCGGCAGGTCGGCATCGTAACCTCCGGGTTTCGTCAGCGCTGAACGACCTGGAGGAGCAGGAGCAGTGGGAACAGGAGTAGGGGCTCTGAACGGCAGGCAAAGAGCCCGCCGCAGTGGAGATGTTAAAGGATTCTTCATCGAGGCATCAGTGATGCGAAAACAATCTCATTGCACCCTGAAAAAGGAAATAGGGTTGCAATTGCCCTCGAAGAAACACACTGAGTGTGATTCGGGAGATTTCGTGCAGACTCGACCACACCCTTGGATAAAAGCTTGGGCCATGCGTATTAATCGCTAACGAGCACTAAAATAGATTGATCAAGTCATCAAATTCTCGTCTCAACTTAGGCCTCTACATCATTGTTTACCTAAACTTTAGGCCTAAATGACATAAAGACTTAGATGAGTTTACCCAAATTTACTGCAATCTACTATAAATTTGGCAGACCCTTTGACTACAGCAGTTTATTTCTCTAAGAGTATCATGGATGCCTCTTAACACATCCCAAGGCCTACTAACAGAGCAGCCATCATACGCTCATCACTAGAGGCAACAGCACCATGTGGTGACATTACACATTCTTCATTCAATTTTATACATAAGCCGGTATTATCAGATACCAAGTGCCTCCCTGCGACTCTTGCTATACAGATCAAGATAAGGTGCTTCGCCAAGACTACAAACTCGATCTCCAGCTCTCGCTTCCTCATAGTCATATGTCGCGCAGTGGAAAGTTGATCTATTATCCCAAATCGCAAGATCATTCTTGCTCCAACGATACCGGACCTGGGCATCGTGGTTCTGTGTCACTAGATTGAAGAGGTACGCCAGCAGTGTATCACTCTCATCTTTTGACAATCCATTAATACGCTTGGTGAAGCCCTTGTTGACAAACACTGACTTCCAGCCTGTGACTGGGTTTGTTCGGATAAGAGGATGGACGGATGTGAGGTTCTCGCCTTGATTTAGAGGAGAGCCACGGATGCCTTTGCGGATCGGGTTGCCTAGGCGTCGTGCCTCGTCATGGAAGAAGCTGGCATCGTGAGTCGCGGTCAATCCTTCGAGGAACTTCTTCATGGGGTCTGAGAGTCTATCGTAGACCTCATATCCGGATGCCCAGAGCTATTTCATGTTAGCAAGATGTTGGTGAGTGAAAAGAGAGCCAAGCAACACGGGTTGCTTGAACCTCTGAGTCGCAAAGACATACTGTGTCACCACCTGTCTTTGGTAGAGTGTGAATCTTGAGCATAGCATAGTCTGAGGGAACCTTCTCAAAGGTGATATCGCTGTGCCACCCAGCAGATGCATATCGGCTTACATCGCTGAGCTGATGTGTCAAACCACCACCCTTCTTCTGCTTCTCACTTGAGATAACACTGATCTGATCACCCAACTCGCTACCCTCTTCAGTCAAAGGATGCACATGCAGACCTGAGCTAGTAGGGCACCCAGCAACCTCTGTAAGCCGCAGCATAAACTCCTTCATCTCCTGAGGAGTGACATCCTGGTTCTTCAGAAAGACAACACCTCGCTGAGAAATAGTGACTGCAAGGTCACGGATGTGTCTCTCATCCCATTTCAAGAGGTCTCGAATTTGAAGACCATTGTACTCACGGCCAATGACAGGGGTGACGTCAAGCTGAGGAATGTCATCAAGACTACCCGTGTAAGTCAAGGGTTCTGATAGACGTGGACGGCTTTGGGCATCTCCGCCGACAATATTGCTAGAAACGGTCTCGGGTGCAGCAGAAGGCATGATGCAATATGTGCTTGAGTTTGAACAATATTTGTCAATTGATAAGAAAACGAGGGCAAACAGTGACAATTATGTGAAGCTGTATCCAAGCCGGAGTCTCTTTCGGAGGATAACCACCCATTGATAAATAACAAGGGCCCGGCATGGTGGGAATTGGTCTAACCAAGAATGGAATCTTCAGACCGTTACAGGCCAAACGTACAATGCCGAATCATTTCCCCCCGCAAAGACGACATCGGGACTAATGATGGCATGCTCGAGAGAGGAGAATTTCTCGGAGAATCTACCCCAGCTCTAACGAGGGGTTTGGACCAATCTCGTAGCTGTAATTTCTACAAGTGCCCTGTCAGGTGGTCACTGCATGATGCTCTGAGTTCCTAATCCACCTGTTGCATTTCACTTGGAGAACCCTTGGCGGATCATGGCCCTTGACTATGAGAATTGAGTGTTACCAGATCTGGCTTCATGTCCTTATGGCGTGCGCGATCGAGCCACCCACCAAGGGGACTATTGTGTATACTACCTACCGAAAGAGTCTCCGGCGATGAACTATATCCATGGTCGAACTGTAGATGTCTCTTATATATCTGAGCGAGAACCCAAGTTTTGGGATCATCTCAGCGACGATCACTTCAATCGAGTCTCTTGATAATTACCCAACTCATTGAGTGAGATTCTTTTTATACCATGGGTAACCCGGATATCGAGACGAGCTCGGCAGTTGCTCAGCGCGTGTCGGTGGAAATCACCAAGACGCAAGTCGGAGTTGGCCGAGAGCAATTGTCAGACGCTTTGCCGCCTCATGCCGACTACGAAGGCGGCCATCGGTGGGATCCCTCGGCTACATGGACTCCTGAAGAGGAGAGACGGGCAGTGCGCAAGACTGATCTCAAGCTTTTGTCTTGGTTGTGTCTTATGGTATGTATTGCTTCTCAATTGGTGATGAAATTGACTTACACGATTAGTTCTTTGGTCTGCAATTGGATCGTGGAAACATTTCCAACGCGCTCGCTGATGACCTCTTGACTGATCTCGGATTGACCACCGATGACTACAACAACGGAACCACCATTCAAGTCCTTTGCTTCTTGCTGGCTGAGTTCCCTGTTCAATTCCTCACCAAGCGATATGGCTTCAAGCATGTCCTTCCCACGCTCATGGTCTGCTGGGGTCTCGTCTCAACCTTCCAAGCCTTCATGACCGGACGAGCTGCTTTCTACGTCACCCGTGCTCTGATTGGTACCTTTGAGGGTGGTTTCATTCCCGGTGTCATTCTCATGGCGACTTACTTTTACACCTCGAAGGAGCTGTCTATTCGACTTGCAGCTTTCTGGTCTACTCTCAACATCGCCCGTGTCATCTCTGCTCTCCTTGCTGCTGGACTGATTGAGATGCGAGGTGTCAACGGCCACCCTGGCTGGTTCTGGCTTCTTCTCCTCGAGGGTCTTCTTACCGTGGTCATTGGTCTCGTCTCTATGGCCTATCTTCCTACCTCGCCCACAGGCACCAAGTCTCTCATCTGGCGAAAGTCTTGGTACACTGAGCGTGAGGAGGTGATCATGATCAACCGTATCCTTCGAGATGATCCTGCCAAGGGTCTTACGGCATTGAAGGAGCCTGCTACATGGCAGGATGTCAAGAACGCATGGTCAGACCCTTCGCTCTGGGGTCTTTATTTTATCGGTCTCGTTGCCTACATTCCCGCCGCACCTGTTCAGGCTTACTTGACTCTTACGCTCAAGCGAGTTGGAAAGTTCAGTACCTTGGCTAGCAACCTGCTCACTGCACCCTCTGCTGCACTCCAGATCATTACTATGCTTGCGCTGGCCTACAGTTCCGAGTACTTTAACGAGAGGACGTTCCATTGTCTGTTTGGGGAGATCTGGTCACTTCCTCTTCTTACGGCACTTCTCACCCTTCCCGATGAGGGCCGAGAATGGGGACGATTCTCTATCATTACTCTGATCTCTGGATATCCCTACTTCCACCCTCTGGTTTCTTCTTGGATTTCCGAGAACTCTTTCGACGTTAAGAAGCGAGCCATTGCTGCGGCTACATACAACGTCATCGTTCAGATGTGAGTTTGACCCTTACCCGTTCAACAAACAAATACTAACAGAAAACAGGGGGAGCGTTACAAGCTCTCAGATCTACCGCAGGTGGGATGCTCCTTACTACAAAAACGGTAACAAGGTGCTCATTTCGATCCTGTGCCTCTCTGTCGTTGCATTCATCGCCCAGCGGTTCTGGCTCATCCACCTCAACAAGAAGAAGATCGAACAGTGGGAACAGATGACACCAGAGCAGAAGCTCGAGTACCAGACTGACAAGGAACAGCGAGAGATTGATGGAAACAAGCGACTCGATTTCCGCTTTGCTTACTGAGAGGATATGAGTATTGTGGTGATTGGTCGAGTTAGTGTTCTACAGCGTATGTATATGCTGTAAGTTAACCAGTTAATTTATAAGCCCCGAGGATGGTTACGTATTAACAAATGTGTTGATATATTTCAAGCAAGGTCTCCTGTTGTGCTATGTTGTGAAACCCATTTGTGACTGAGAAAACTGCCGTTACACAGCAACGCTTTTTACATTTAGAGTTTAAGTCGTTACTGGTTTCAGTCGCTGTTCCCGCTGTCTTCGGCCAAGAATCCCAAACGCGGATGAAAATGCGAGCGCAATGACATTTTTCGCGATTGCCTTGTATTTATTAGTCATCAAATTAAGCATGTTTGAGGCACATCGCCAACTTTGTCTGAAAGCTTAATTCCTGTCCAATTCCTCTCATTTCATCTCAACTGCCTCGTCTCACGCATTTCTCATTTTCATTCTCGTATAAAATCATCAAAATGGGTGTCATTGGACTCACTGCAAGCGGCCTCGTCGGCGCTTTGCACAGCTACATCTTGGTTCTCGAGATGTTTCTCTGGACGAAGCCTCGTGGAAGAAAGGCTTTCAGACTCACGCCTGAGTTCGCCGAGCAGACCAAGACAATGGCTGCCAATCAGGGCCTCTACAACGGCTTCTTGTCCGCTGGATTGATTTGGTCGCTTCTTCACCCGAATCCTGAGTTCTCAAAACAGCTTCAGATCTTCTTCAACGGCTGTGTCTTGGTTGCAGGTGCATATGGTGGTCTCACCGCCAACAAGAAGATTCTCTACATCCAGACTGCTCCCGCGGCTCTCTCTCTTGGACTCGTCCTGTTGGATATGTAGAGTATTGTTATGAAAGTATGGATTCGGCCCCCAGGCTTTGGTAACCCTTGACCGCTAATATATGATAGTATGACTTATATACAGTTTATTGAGCTTGAATCGTTTCTGTATCCAGCTACTTTCTAGTGGCCATGTGGGAACTGCATCGAAAAAATACGGTGTCATTATGTCTTGGGTTGGCAAATGCGTTGTTGCTGTTCAATACTAGTTTGTTGTTTCATCACTCCCTCTGGTATCTAATGTGAGGCGAACTTCTACTGTTGTGACTATGGACTGTTCCTTGTGGGAGCCCAGCGACTCTTTTAGCAAGCACATGCCTAACGGCACACCTGCATGCTCACGATATCGAACAAGCCCGGGCAACTGTGTCTTTATGATGCCTCTTGGGGGCTGCAACAACAAGATATGCTTATTTTGTCCGAGGCTCAGCTGAAACTCTCGTTGCTCAAGCTGAACTGCTAGACTCTCTTATCACCGTGACTGATCAGCATGCTCATCCTAGCCTAGACATATACCGCCGACAGTCATGGCGAGATTCCGAAGCGAGATTAGAGTTGTGAACTGTGGTCGCTCATCTGTGTGGCCTTGAATCGACATCGCAAGAAGCCTCTTGACGGGATGCTCGGTTTGAGGGAGTCGGCTGATATTGCCCGCGCATTGTGCTAACGAAGGCCAAGTCCTGATTTTGTCAACTTGCTCTCCGTGCCCCAAGCTGGTAGCAGGACCCGAAGTGTTGGCGGCACTTGCCATGAGATATATTTACGTGGGCGGTGTTGTGAGCACCTCAATGTTTCGCCGTGTCGCCCGGAGAAAGCTCTTCAAGGCTGCATTTCGACCCATGTTGAAGTTCAAGTTTGCGCAACGGCGAATATGCATAATGTGACCGTTGGATGATAAGGCCCAGTTCTACATTGCCACAGTATGTGCCGTCATGGGATGTCACATATAAGCCATGCGTTGGATGGCTTGTTCATCATTTCCAGAACACTTTCATACCATTGAGGCCGATTTCAGTGCCTGTGGGCAGAGAAGGAAGGAAGATAAGGGCTACCTGCTCTTCCCTTCCCAGGTGTCGACCCAATGCGATCCCCACCAGACTGCTTGTTCCTTCCTTAGTAGTTTGTCTAGACACTGGAAGTCAACAAAGTTTACGTGCAATCTGCCATTCTCTGGATCATATTATTCTGCAAGACTTTTATTGTTTTTACGCCTATAATGGCAGCACAATCTTCTCTACAGAATATGGAATTGGAGCAATTCCCATGGGACGAACCCTGACTATCGGAGCAATATGTAGAAGCATCTGTTGACCCCGACGCATCGTGTAAGTTACAATATTGTTGAACCAGCACGAGACTTATGACTACTTTAGGCAAAAGGCTACTGGATCGGTTATTTCCAGCCAATTCGATACCATGTTTACCAACCGCACCAACCGCGCAACATGATGTGACATTGGTCGGTGAAGTTCACCTCCATGGAAATGCTTCCACGTCTGAACTCAGGGTCTACCGGGAAGTTTGAGCTGAGTCCGTTTGTTAGAAGACCCAAAGAGGTTACTCTTCAGCTCTAGTCTCGATTTCCGAAAACAAGGAATTGGTCACTGGGGGTTGCCGACTCGGCAGGCATTTTGGCCGACAAATCTCTCCGCATGACCCCAAATATACAACGGCCAATTGTACCTTTCACAGTTTCGCGGGGTTGAGGCTACACTATATAATGTATCCAAGTTGTCGAATATCACATCCGTCAGAACCGAGTTCACGAATTGACAACGGCTATGCGGCACCTGAAGGTCGTCATAGTTATGCACCCATCGCCCGGCTTTAATGAAATACTTAGAAACTCAATTCTTAATCCCTCATTGTTTATTGTACATCTTCACGGAAATTGTGTTATTGGTGACAGAATCATCCTGGCATGCAACCCTCTGATGATTGCTTCTAGGCTCTAGCGATGTAGATCTGCCTTCCGGATCACACGGGAGCTTCTGGAAAATAACGCTCTAGGGTCACAGGAAGTCGGTCAATATTCATATTCGCGAACGCGAGGTTGCAGTGAACGGGTTGCAACACTGCAAAGACGAGAGCTATCCGTAAAAGGCAGTAAGCTATGCGCTCATAGAGAATCGCAAAGTAATAAATAACGAGTCGTTGCGCCTGGAAAGGTGTGTTTAAGTGTGTGTTTGCATCCTGTTCTCAAGACAAGTGCGTACATAGATCTCGTGACCCTAATTATCCTCTTTACCATCATAATCTGTTTGAACGATATCACCAATGTCTAAACTGTTCCGTCGTCGCAAGAACAACAACGATGATCTGGAATCCAACGCTGGCCGGCGAGCCTCCCGCGCTTCTAGGGGCGGGAGAGCCGCCAGCATTGTAGACGACAGTCTCGGCGAGTATCCTGCCCTGGATCACTACATCAGCAACTATCGCGAAGATCGTCGTCGCCCAGCTGATGATCGTGATGGGAAGGTTAAGAAGAAGCATTGGTGGCAGTTCGGCAGTGGTGTCGATGCCCAGGAGGAGCCCCCTTCTAAGAAGGGCACTCCTGATGCTTGGCTTGAGACGGATCTCACAGCTGGTCTTGCGTCGGATGAGGTTGAAAGACGAAGACAAGTGACAGGATGGAACGAGTTGGTTTCGGAGAAGGAGAATATGTTTGCCAAGTTTCTGGGCTTTTTTACAGGCCCCATTCTTTATGGTAAGCCATTCTGCCGTCCGTTTGAGGGTTCGGTTGCTGATTATCGCATTGTAGTTATGGAGGTCGCGGCCCTTCTCGCAGTCGGTCTCGGGGACTGGGTGGATTTCGGAGTCATCGTTGGTATTCTTATGCTCAACGCCTTCGTCGGCTTCTACCAGGAGAAGCAGGCTGCAGATGTCGTCGCTAGTCTCAAGGGTGATATCGCAATGCGATGCACCGTCATACGTGATAGCAACGAACAAGAAATTCTGGCACGAGAACTTGTTCCCGGAGACATCGTAAGTGGTTCCTTCCCAAAACCGTCAAGCTTAAGTCGTTCCTTCTTAAAGCCGTCAGACTTGAGTGGTACTTTCCTGAAACTACCCGATTTAAGTTGTTCCTTCTTGCAACCACCAGACTGACTGATTAATGCCCTAGCTCATTGTTCAAGAAGGCGGTACCGTCGCTGCAGATGCTCGCCTTATCTGCGACTATACACGCCCCGAAGATTTTGAACTTTACAAACGTCTCCGAGCCGAAGACAAACTCGACCGCAGCGATGAGGAAGATGAGTTTGCTGAAGGTGCAGACAAAGAACAAGATCATGACACATCGACTGAACATGATGCCCATCAACACAGTCATGAGCAGGAGCCACATGACTATCGAAGCCGTCCTCTCGCAGCCATTGATCAATCTGCTATTACCGGCGAGTCTCTAGCTGTTGAGAAGTATCTGGGTGATATGGTCTACTATACCACTGGCTGCAAAAGAGGCAAGGCCTTTGCCCTTGTTCAAACCACTGCTAAAGAGTCTTTCGTGGGCCGCACTGCAGATCTTGTCCAGGGAGCCAAGGATCAAGGCCACTTCAAGGCTATCATGAACAACATTGGAACCTCGCTTCTGGTTCTTGTCATGTTCTGGATCCTGATAGCCTGGATTGGAGGGTTTTTCCACCACATTGGAATGACGGAGCCTGGATCGCAGAATCTTCTCCATTACGCCCTTGTTCTTCTTATTATCGGTAGGTCTCGAAAAAACCCCAATTCTATTGTTGTGGAATGAGTTTGGCTAATGGTTCCGAATCAGGTGTTCCTGTTGGTCTTCCAGTGGTGACAACCACGACCCTTGCTGTCGGAGCAGCCTATCTCGCGAAACAGAAGGCCATCGTCCAAAAGCTTACTGCTATTGAGTCGCTTGCTGGCGTAGACATTCTCTGTTCTGACAAGACTGGCACGTTGACTGCCAATAAGCTGTCGATTCGCGATCCTTGGCTGGCAGAAGGCCAGGACGTCAATTGGATGATGGCAGTCGCAGCTCTTGCTTCGAGTCATAACCTCAGAACTCTGGATCCCATCGACAAAGTCACTATCCTTACTCTCAAACGCTACCCCGAAGCCAGAGAGATTCTCAAGCAAGGGTGGGTGACTGAGTCGTTCACACCTTTTGATCCTGTCTCTAAACGTATCACTGCGGTTTGCCGCCTTGGGAATGACAAGTTCTGGTGTGTGAAGGGAGCTCCTAAGGCGGTACTGAAACTGGCTTCAGGCTCAGAAGATGAAAGCCGAATCTACAAAGAAAAAGCCCAGGATTTCGCTCGAAGAGGATTCCGTTCGCTTGGTGTCGCTTACAAAAAGAACGATGGTCCATGGGTCATTTTGGGTTTGCTATCCATGTTCGATCCTCCTCGCGAAGATACAGCCCAGACAATCATCGAGGCAGGCCATCTCGGAGTCCCCGTCAAAATGTTGACTGGAGATGCCATAGCCATTGCAAAGGAAACCTGCAAAATGTTGTCCCTCGGAACAAAAGTGTATAACTCGGAACGACTCATCCACGGCGGTTTATCCGGAAGTGTCCAGCATGATTTCGTGGAGCGCGCAGATGGCTTTGCCGAAGTGTTTCCCGAGCACAAGTACACAGTTGTCGAAATGCTACAACAAAGAGGCCATCTCACAGCAATGACAGGCGACGGTGTCAATGATGCCCCTTCCTTGAAGAAAGCGGATTGTGGCATTGCCGTTGAAGGCGCCTCGGAAGCTGCCCAGGCCGCAGCAGATATCGTCTTTCTCGCCCCTGGTCTAAGCACCATCGTTTTAGCTATTAAAACTGCTCGGCAAATATTTCAGAGAATGAAAGCGTATATCCAATATCGTATTGCGCTCTGTCTCCATCTGGAAATCTATCTCACGCTGTCCATGATCATCATCAACGAAACAATCCGGGTCGACCTTATAGTATTTTTGGCCTTGTTTGCGGATTTAGCAACAGTTGCAGTTGCTTATGATAATGCTCATTGGGAACCGAGGCCGGTAGAGTGGCAGTTACCCAAAATTGTAAGTTCGTGATATCCGATATGTTGCTAGCGAAGGCTAACGCTGTGACAGTGGGTTATGAGTGTGATTCTTGGGATCCTTCTAGCTCTCGCCACGTGGGTATTGCGTGGTGCTTTATTTCTGCCTAATGGAGGCTTCGTTCAGAACTTCGGTTCCATTCAAGAGATACTCTTCCTCGAAGTCGCCCTCACGGAGAACTGGCTCATCTTCGTCACACGAGGCGGCAAGACGTGGCCGTCGTGGCAACTTGTGTTCGCCATCCTCGGTGTAGATATCCTAGCAACTCTCTTTTGCCTCTTTGGCTGGATGTCCGGTAGGGGTGAGATTTCCCACCCCGAGTCGAACTTCAAGCAGAGCAGCAATGGCTGGGTCGACATCGTCACAGTCGTGATCGTTTGGCTTTACTCTTTCGGCGTTACTGTTGTCATTGCTATTGTGTACTTCGTTCTCAATAAGCTGTCTTGGTTAGACAATCTAGGTAGGAAAGATCGCAAGAAGAAAGATACCAAGCTGGAAAATATCCTCGGCCACCTGCAGAAGCTTGCCATCGAGCATGAGGTCGACGAGAAGACTGGGAAGAGCAGGTTTATGCTGGCGGAGAAGGCTGCTGATGAGGACGATGATATCTAGAGCCCGCTGTGTTGTGTTGTGGTTTGGCATGAGTGTATGAAGGTGTGAAGTTTGTGAATTTGTCGATGAAGGCAGGGCTGGGGGAGGTTGGTGTTTCGTGGATTCCTACCTACCTAGGTAGGTAGGCAGGCAGGTATTTCCTTCCGTTAAGGAAGGAGTTTCTCGTTTCACACCTCTTTTTGGGTAATATGTCTTTCCCATCTTCTGTTCGTCATTGCCTCGCACTTGCCGTGCAAGGCAAAGCTCTGATGGCTTCTCCGATTAAGCATTCATAAACTCAGTTGAATTTGACAAATGTTTTAAAACCAGCAAATAATACAGACCAATTTTTAAGATAACATACCGCAAGATCATTATTTCTGTTGTGGTTTTAATCATTTTCCGATTTAAAGTACCTAATGGCTGTCCAGAATTGACGTTTCTCTCAAGTTCTCCACTGGTAACCTGTCCAGCAGCTCCTTCCTTCCTCACGACGTGAGAACTCCTCCCAGCGTGATTCAGTGTCCTACGCAGAAGGAGCGCACAAAAAACTGGAATCAACACCAAACCAAAACTTACTACCTACGCGTAGTTCTTTCCTTCTTTCGCCGCGGCAATTCTCCCATTTCCATTTTCCAACCTCCATACGAGTTCCCGTATATCCTACAGATCAAGTTGCCAGATTTTTATACCAAGTTTACCTGTGATACAATGGCGACTCCAATCATCCCGTTGTCCGAAGAACAGGCTTCTTGGAAGCAATGGGACGAGAATGTCCCTTGCGTCTGGCCCGAAGTCGTCGCTCCCTCGCCCTTGCCGATGCCTGAGCTCCCGACTCTTATCGAGGAGGAGGCCAGAGTTGAACTTTCCTGTTAGTGACAATCAACAAGTGTTCTTATACTTAAGCTGATTCATGATATAGGGCGAGAACTACAAGCCAGGACTGACGCCCGCTACAACAGACAGAGACGACCGTCTAAGCTCTAAAGGAGGAAAGGGAAACAGAGAAGCTAGAGCAATCTCGTTGGAGAATGGCGGGGAAGCTACCGAGGCTTAGAAGGGAACCAAAATCCGGGGTAGACAGGGGTCCTGGAAGGCGAGATCGTAACGGACCAGCACGTCATTTGCACCAGAAGTAGCACAGAAACAATTCATTTCTGCCGAGTATTTTCATTTGCCGCACTTTCGTTCTTTTCACTGGTCAATGGTGATCCTTCTGACTCCCATCGAGCAATCCGACCTCTGAGCCATGACCCCACCTCCACGACCTCCGAAAAACACTCCGAGTTCTCGTCAGAAGCTTGCGAGACGAGCCTGCGATTCATGCAAGGTTAGAAAGATCCGCTGCTCAGAAACACCCCCTTGCACAGCATGTGAGGCATCGGGCATAGAATGTACCTTCAATCGCTCACAAGGGACGAGAGGGCCGCGAGGATTGAGACCAAGAACGCTGGATAAGATTGAGCGAAGACGCCAAGGGGATGAAGCAAAAAGCGATACCTCAAGCCCGGACCAAGCTATTGCCAAGAAGTCACCGTCACCTGTTAACGAAGTAGCTTGTTTACTTGACGTTTTAGAGGTTTACTCTGAGAGACTGTACCCCATCTGGCCCATCGTCGATGCAACTGATCTAAGGAACAAAATTCGGCAGAATCCCAATGAAGGCGGTGCAGCGAGGTGCCTTGCTAATGCTGTGGCTCTTGCTGCTATTGCTCAACTGAAACTGGATACTGCATGGCGACCCAGTGTAGAGGAAGCGGAAACAAGTGGGTTGAGTGAGAAGCTGGGTCTTTTGGATGCTTTGAGGATTTCCTTCTTCCTACATATCTACCATGAGAACGTTTTGCCTGGAGGCACAAAGTCGCTTGTGTACTTGCGAGAAGCTATCACGCAGGCGCAAATTTTAAGGCTCGATCGTGAGTCTACTTATCCTTCGCTTTCAGAAGCCGATCAACATGTTTCGCGACGGATTCTCTGGCTACTGTTTGTCACCGAGAGGTAGGGTTCTTCATTCGAAAAAGATCTCCTGCTAATGCGTTTCGCCCAGAGGTGTTGCTCTCTTGCACAAGCTTCCCGTAGTCCTCAAGCCAAACATCTTGTTCCCGTGGTTCGGAGGAGCTGATGACCGTGCTGAAGTTTTACCGGCATTTTTAAAGTTGGTCCATCTGTTCTGGGTCTTTGATCAGTCCAACATCTTTGAGATCCTTCGCAACATCGACGCGGACTCGGATATACCCAACATGGCCTCCGTGGCTCAAAATTGCTTGGAGCTCCTGCAGCAAAAACTTCTCGACTCAGCCGACAATGACGATTGGGGCCCTATAAACGAGGTCCAGCGAGCAGACATGTTTGTTACTAGGCAATGGATGCGTGCTGTGTTATGGCGAGCGGCTCTACGATTTGGCATTGTCATACCCTCGATGAACCCCATTCATATCGCCAAAGACTTCTTGAGCCTCGTTTCCGAGCTTCCAAAGGCTGCTCTTGAGTCTCATGGACCGACGCTGGTGAGTCTCATAGTGGATGTATAATCTGATGCAAGCTTACAGTCGGGGCAGGAATTCAAAACATTTGAGATTGCTACGGCAGTAATTGATGCGATCGCAAGTGATCACTCAATACAAAACGATCAATCTGGTCCAATACTCCATCAACTACGCGACATACTTTCGTCCTGTCGAGGAGGCAATCGTACTCTTCTCTCACTTCTCACAATCCGAATGGACGCAATCTTCAATTCAGGCCGCATGTTGGAGCCAGAGGGTGATTCAGTGGCTTTTGAAGCAAATCTAGCATCGACTTTCCAAGATACTGCCGAACTTTTGACATCACAACCGAACCTCACGATGCCAACGTATCAATTCATGGAAGGCCAAGCTTCTCAAATTTGCTGGCCACCTCTTGACCTCGGCTACCTGGTTCGATCGCCGTCGCCGCTTACTCGTATGCTACTGGAGTCGATGCCTCGCGATGTTACTGAACAGGACGAAATCCAGCAGATAATTGAGACACCAACCTAAGTGTAGGTAAAGGATCGGTGAGATTACGGTCCTCCGGCAAAATTAGGCCTAAACTCCACCCAAAAGTTGAAAGACTCTTCCATTGCTGGCTTATGGCGTAAAGAGGACCCCGTATTGCGCCATTGCACCCTTGTTAAGCTACTGCAATTCCCCGCTGCAGGACACCTGCACATGGGGAAGGCAGAAGCCCAGGTGTGACAGCAAATAAGTCGGAATATCTGACTTGATGAAGCTCTTTGACATTTACCGGCTGGATGATTCAAATTTGCACTCAAACTCGCGACATTGCTCAGATTAAAGCAACATACAAGTCCCTCCCAATTGTTGGCGGCACTGATTCATAGAATATTAATCTTCCTGTAAGTCATCCCCGCTCCGAAGCAATCTCCGAAATATTCTCCGGCTACACAACCCCAATTCGAATTCGGCGACGAGTCGTTTTTACAATTTTACTGACCAAGGTGTGTAGAAACATTGACTTCGTGCAAGACTTACATCTCCAAGGTCTCATAAATCGTCAAGATGGCTTGGGCTGAACCTAGAAACACTGGCATGATCTACCGTCGTCTCGGTAGATCCGGCTTACATGTCTCTGCGATTGGTCTCGGTAGCTGGATGACCTATGGAGGCTACGCTCAAGACGAGGAGGCATTTGCTTGCATGAAAAAGGCTTACGACCTTGGAATCAATTTCTTCGACACAGCCGAGAACTATACTGCTGGCCAAGCTGAGATTGTCATGGGTAAGGCTATTAAGCACTTTGGGTGGAAGCGCAGCGATTTGGTCATTAGCACAAGTGAGTCCTTGAATGCGCCAGGTATTCGATGCCTTGATGCTAATGATTCTCAGAGATCAACTGGGGTGCCGTTAATGGAGAGATTCTCGTCAACAACCATGGGCTTTCGAGAAAGCATATCATCGAGGGTCTAGACGCCTCATTGGAGCGTCTTCAGCTCGACTATGTTGACATTGTCTACGCTCACCGGCCAGATAGACTGACTCCTATGGAGGAGACTGTCCGAGCTTTCAACTACCTGATTGACAACGGAAAGGTTTGTTAGCATTCGCCAAACTTGATTGCGGCAGCGCTGACGAAGTCACTAGGCTTTCTACTGGGGTACATCAGAGTGGTCAGCTGATGAAATTGCCGAAGCTGTAAGTCACTATCACTGACATGTAATTTGCTTGGATTCTCACATCAACAGGTCGGAATTGCTCGTGATCTTAGAATGATTGGACCTATCGCCGAGCAACCCTTCTACAACATCCTTGTCAGAGATAGAGTTGAAGGCCAATTCCAACGCCTATATGAGCGCACTGGCCTAGGTATCACCTCGTTCTCCCCCTTGAAAATGGGCGTTCTCAGTGGAAAGTACAACGATATAGTTGACGGCAAGCCACCCAAAGACTCCCGATTTGAAGCCAGCAAGGACAACTTCGCCGACTTCATGCGCGGCCGTATTGGCACTGATGACTGGAAGGAGGAGATCGACAAGGTTCGGCAGTTGAAGCCCATTGCTGATAAGCTGGGCATCAGCCAGGCTCAACTTGGTATTGCATGGTGTCTCAAGAATCCTAATGTTACCAGTGTTATCACCGGTGCCAGCCGGCCTGAACAGTTGGATGATACTGTTGCCTCGCTGAAGATTCTTGATAAGCTGACACCAGAGATTATGGAGGAGATTGATGCCATTACGAAGAACGAGGTTGAGCTGGATCCTGCTAGACAGAGCTAGAGACTTCCAATGAAAATTCAAAGAGAAATTTATCGCATGAAGAGTATTGGACATTGAGTGGTCGAGGCATAGGCGTTAAGGAAATATTAAAATTGGAGTAAACGTGAAACCGTAACAAGTTATATTCATGGCTCAGCTCTTGTGATAGTGTTCAGAGCATTCGACCCTGTAGAGATACATGTTTGCGCCAGACCTTTCTGAAGATATGTACCTATTTCTCTCTCGATCCATTTCTTGTTATTCTGGTCAAAAAGTCTATACTCATTCATTGTTGGGAAATTCTTTATTCATGGCATTGTAGTGAAGAAATCAGGTGCACTTTCACAACGTAGACGCGTTCAGATCGCCTCAATAGTCCTCGGAGCTCCTCGCGAGATTTATGCACGATATTATATAGAATACGTGCCCCTGATATGACAAGAAGACAAACTCGACTGGATTATTAGTTATGAATGAGAGCCTATAGATCAATATCTAATCAATATCGGCGACAAGGCCCCATGAACTACTGCGGCTCACCAAGGTTCACTCCTCGGTAACCAACTGCCGTAGACGGCAGATCGCACTTTGTCAGGTTGCGACATTATGAATCATCATACGACTTCGGCTCAAGAGAAGTCCGAACTACGAGAGCAAGGAGATAAACTCGGACTCGCGCTTTTGGTTTCACTATCAGCGATACAACCCTGGATATTGAGGTCTATTAACTTATTCTCGTATTTGACAGCCTCTGATTGGTTCGTGTCTTTTTGGTGGGGGCCATTCGCGCCGAGCCGGAGACCCTCTTACCCTTTACGGTAAAAGCACTTACCGGATATGGTAAAAGTCTCGACCGAAGCCAAATGCAAAGTCCGCGATAGCATCATCGACAATGGCCTAGAAGCGGACGGCAGGAGTTAACGAAATGTCCGGACAATTAAATGCTTCAATGGCACTCAAAGCTAGTAGTGAAGACCCAAGTATAAAGATGTCGAGATGTCTTCCCTTTAGACAAGCATCTCATCATCACATTTATCAACTTCACTTAACAATTACCACCACTTTTAGTTTTGCATACATAAATCTTCCGAGTCTCAGTTACTACAATGTCTCAACAGTACGCCAAGGACCAGCCTGAGGGCTTTGTCAACAAAATTGAACGAGTTGCCATTATTGGTGTAAGTAACATGTTCGTCTATCATATAATTAGTGGCTAACATTTTGCAGGCTGGTGGAAGTGTTGGCAAGTACTTGGCCAAGTATCTCATCGCGACAGGCAAGCATACAGTCACTGCTATCACCCGTAAAGGCAGCACCAGCAAATTCCCTGAAGGCGCTCACACTGTCACTGTTGACTACGATGATGAGAACTCCATCGTGGAGGCACTTCGAGGCCAGCAGTTCCTCTCAATCTCTCTCTCAGTATCCGCAGCCCCTGGTACCCAAGAGAAGATCATTGGAGCGGCCGCCAAAGCAGGTGTTCCATGGATCATGCCCAACTGTTACGGCATCGACTTCACCAATAAGTCACTCGCCGATGAGAACCTGACCGGTAGAAGTGTGTTCCCAGGAATCAATGCCATCGAAGAAAACGGTGTATCTTCGTGGATTGCTATGTGCTGTTCCTTCTGGTACGAGTTCTCTCTGGCCCAGGGCTCTGAATGGTATGGCTTCGACTTGACTGGCGACAAGAAAAAGGTTACGTTCTACGATGATGGCAACACCCGTATCAACAGCTCAACCTGGGATCAGTGTGGTCGAGCTTTCGCAGCTCTTCTGAGCTTGAAGGTTATTCCGGACGATGAGAATGACAAGTCACCTACCATCTCCCAGTGGCGAAACAAGCCCCTCTACATCTCCAGCTTTCTCATCTCTCAGCGAGAGATGCTCGACAGCTTTCAACGAATCACCGGTACTACAGACAAGGACTGGGAGATTGAGTATGAGGATTCCAAGGAGCGCTGGCAGCGAGGCATGGACCTTCTCAAGAAGGGGGATCGTTCTGGCCTTGGACTCGCGATGTATGCTCGAACGTTCTATCCCAATGGTGATGGAAACTTCGAAGCCAAGTATGGCCTTGCAAATGAGGCTTTGGGTCTACCTAAAGAAGATGTTGATGAAGCCAACAAGAGAGCTTTGAAGATGGTTGAGGACAAGTACAACTACTTTGTGAACCGAAATTATTAAGGGTGCAGGGGAACAATGAGGATGGATTGACATTAAATGTACAAGATCTGGTAAACTGGACTTTCTAGGTAGACAAACAAGCGACTTGACCACTCACGCACAACCGCACAACCGCACAACCGCACACTAATGCCTGTGAGTGACAAAAAAGCGATAGATGCTCCAACGAGCAAAAGAATGGTCCCGCTCGGGCTCGAACCGAGGACCTTCTCGGTGTAAACGAGATGCCATAACCAACTAGGCCACGAGACCAATGGAGATACATAAAGAGGTAAGATTTGGGTTTAAGTTTGTGGAGTTGAGAGCGGTGAGAGAAAAAGGAGACGCGGGTCCTTTCGGATTCGCAAAAATGTGGTTCCGCCCGGGATCGAACCGGGGACCTTCTCGGTGTTAACGAGATGCCATAACCAACTAGACCACGGAACCTGAGCTGATGAGATGAGATCTCTGGCGAATTGTGTCTGGGCAAGGCGAAGAGGCGTTTATACACGTGCATTTGAAGGAGGTCATCGTTAATCGCCAGAGACTCTCGGGAAACCACCAGTTTACATTATTAAAGCAAGGTTAGATCTAAGCCCCAAGATCTTATAATCTTATACGATTAATCTTTATTCCTTACAGTATGTTAAGTGTACTAAAGCTGTGGGAGCTACCCTGTGCCTTGATATCTTGAAACCATTTTCAAGTAATGTTCCAGAATCGTTAACTTCATGCTCTTCAGCCCTTTCCATATTAAAGAGTTACGCTTGGAGTGTCCAAGAGTTATAAATCTAACTTAAGGTGAATTTGAATTCTCGAGGTATCTGGACTATTGCCAGTCGTAACTGGCTTTGTTATCTGTTCCCCGATCCTCCAAGTGTTTGAGTCTGTTTTAACCTCTATTCTTCCCATACTACCTTTTGATTGTCTTTTTGCGCTGTTATATCCATGCGCACTCTTGTATGTCGACCAAGACTCTCCATTGAGAATCTTATGTCTCAATAAACGTGGCACAGTGACTGACAGGCCTCGAAAGCGATGGCGTGCACCTCCCGCCTTGGCGGCTCTTGGCGAAGCGATTTGGAGCAGAGCCTCAATATCAGAAGTCGATTTTAGATATTTGCTTGATATTGGCTATCTATCGGACCAGTTTCATTGGCCACTTTTGAGTTACTGGTATATGTAAAGAAAACTAATTTGACAGACTTTGCAGGAACAATGAGAATTCTAGAGCGTATTTATCAACGTCGTCGTCACTAACAAGTCTAACGTCTCATCACTATATACAGCGCCTGATAATGATCAGCTCACCGTGGGCGGTCCGTATCGGAATGCCGACGATTCCACTTCGTTCGAGCCTCTTTAGTCTGATCTTAAGAACAATAGCAACTTTCATCCTCTCATCTCAAAAGAGAGCGCCTCCGACCCAACGGTCAAGCTCCGAAAACAAAGTGGAACGTTGTGAATATTCATTACTCAACACAAATCCAAAAAGTCGGAGAAAAGCCTGGGGAAAAGGAAAACCCCTCAGGGTCGCGGGGTCACTTCGCGGAGTGCCTTGCAAAATCTGTATAACTGGTCATCTTGTCATATTCCAAAACGTAATAAAAACCATTTCTCCAGAGTCGTCAATACGGGGATTTGAAACTCAGAAGTGAAGCTTTTTTCTCTCGCCACTATAGGCTCCAGTTTAATATTCCCACATGGCACGGCAACCCCGTCGAGAAGCCGGTCGATGCCGGTCCTGAGAGTTATAATTCCCTGATAAAGACCGTGAGAGCTATGCATTTATGCAACATCTGCCGGTTCGGCCGGTCGACTCGGTTAGGACGGATGAGTAGTAGACAGCACGGACCAGAATATGTTCAGAGAGCCGCAATTTGATTATCTGCCTTAATCGTGAACAATATCCAAAAGTCACCAAGCTGGGGGAACGTCTCCACTGAAATGGGCCTCAAAGATAGACCCCGTTAGAGTTATTTTACAGAGGTCTCCTGATTTTTATCTCCAACTGTTCCTTGAATGAGTTGGGGTAATTCAGCTAGGGAGCCGCACATCCGTTCGCGGGGGAGCTAGATTCATTCCAGTCTGACCATGACAACGTGTTTGAAACCAATTGAAAAGAGTTGGAGAGATGACATGCCCAAAGAAGGGCGCATAGGAGAAGGAAATTTTGTTGGAGACTAAGAGGCCGCTGATTCCGGAGCATGGACTTGGTTTTGGGAGAGTCGGCTCCGAAGCGCGCTATTGTCGTAAGCCTAGACTTCAGCTTAGAAGATCTCCATACGTACGGGTACTGTACAGAGGGGACATGATAAGACAGGCCCCTGTAATCATTCGATGAGTGCTCTGCAACGCTGCATTACTTGCAGGAGTACAGCTGTCCTGGGCAGTTATTTTACTATGCAATTCATCAGCTTGCAGGGTATTACATGCTATGAACTACTTCTAGAACATGAGTCGAACTCGTCACTCAAAAGCCTCATTCAAGGATGGCTTGCCCAATCCCCAACCCAGAACAATCACCCCAAAACAATTCTAGAACAAAAAGAGATAGGCCCTTCCCCGGCCCGGGGCATGATCCCCACAACGTCATCCAGCCATCGAGTTCACCGCGAAGGGTGGATCGTCATCCCTAGACCGTCACGGCGACATGGGGCCAGGGGAGGCAATAAAGCTTAAGGAATCTATCTCAAGTGACAAAAAGACTTGGGCAATCTCAGTGTAACTCTACCCGATTTAGACTAGGTATTTTTGACACTCTTCCCTCAGGACCCAAGTTTTCTTGCGCCCTGAGGATGGGGAAAAGCGACTTTGTTACGCAACCACAATGACCCCCCCCAGAGATAGCTACGATCGCCGAACTAGATACCAAATAGTCCAAGTTACAGCCTAGCCCAACAGGAGAAGTGATCCTCCGTTAACGGGCCTGACGTCTGGCATTTAAATACCTGCTTTGCTAACCTCCCAATATGTCACTCTCTGACCTCACTTGATATCCTACCTCATCTCAGTAATCATGGAGTCACAAACGCCGCGGGACAGAAATGTCCATATTGACGACTCAGCTGCTTTGGAACAGCTCGGCCATAAGCAGGAACTCAAGCGCAACTTTTCCAAGATCTCTCTTCTGGGTCTCGCTTTTGCCATCCTCAACACATGGACCGCCTTGTCAGCCTCTATCAGCCTCGCCCTCCCCTCTGGAGGCCCCAGCTCTGTCATCTGGGGTCTCATCGTGGCTGGTATTTGCAACTTGTGTCTAGCTGCTCCTCTGGCTGAGATGTTATCGGCTTATCCTACCGCTGGTGGCCAATATCATTGGGCTGCTCTTATTGCTTGGCCCAAGTGGTCAAGGGGTATTAGCTACGTCACCGGTTGGATCAACGCTGCTGGCTATGTTGTCTTGACGGCAACGGCTCCTCTGCTTGGAAGTACTTTTGTTATTGACTCGATTACTTTCATGCATCCTACCTACGAAGCCAAGGCATGGCATCAATTCCTGATTTACCTGGCCTTCACGATCATCGCCCTCGTCATCAATGCCTTTGCGACACGAATTCTACCTCTGTTCAACAAGGCCGCCTTCCTGTGGAGTATCTCGGGATTCATCATCATCAGCATAACTGTTTTGGCCTGTGCTGCTCCCGATTACCAAAGCGGTGCTTTCGTCTATGGAAAGTTTATCAATGAGGTCGGCTGGCCCGATGGCGTCTCTTGGATGCTTGGACTTCTTCAGGGTGCCTTTGCTCTCACTGGATTCGATGCCGCTGCGCATATGATTGAAGAGATCCCTAACGCTCGAAAGGAGGGCCCTAGGATTATGATCTGGTGCATTCTTATCGGTATGCTCTCTGGGTTCATCTTTCTCTCATGCCTGCTGTTCGTTCTCAAGGACGTTCAAACTGTTATCGAGTCACCAGCCGGTGCTCTTCTGCAGATGTACTTCGATGCCACTAACAGCAAGGCTGGAAGTATCTGCCTCATCGTCTTCTCTATCGTCTGCATGGTTTTCACTGCCACTGCTATCATGACCACCAGTGCCCGTATGACCTATGCTTTCAGCCGTGACCGAGGTCTTCCCTTCAGCCATATCTGGGCCAAGTACAACGACGCCCTCGAGGTTCCTCTCAACGCTCTTTTCTGGACTACAGCCTGGGTTATCATCTTCGGTCTTATTCTTCTTGGAAGCTCAAGTGCCTTCAACGCTATTACTGCTGCTTCCGTTGTTGCTCTCGGTATGTTGTCCTCCATCTGTGCCTCTTCTTAACTAACATTTCAAAGGTGTCACCTACGCGATCCCTCCCGCCATTCATCTCCTCCGCGGCGGAAACTTACTTCCCGAAGACCGACCTTTCAAGCTCAGCGCTCCTGTTCGATGGGTTTGCAGTCTCGTTGGTATTGCTTGGGCCATCCTCACCACCGTCCTTTTCGTATTCCCACCCGAGCTTCCCGTCACGGCTACCAACATGAACTACTGTATCGCTGCTTTTGGAGTCATCCTTCTGATTGCTGTGGGCACTTGGATAGTTGATGGTCGAAAACACTACAAGGGCCCTCTTATTGAAATTAATATGGATGGTGCCACTCTTGAGGGTGCATCCATGGCCGAGACCACATGCACTTCAAATCCTGAAGATGATATGAAGAACCATCATGCTTAAATCAGCATTATGTGCTGTGAACATATCCAGAGCGTGGATTTAACAACAGGCTATCATTGGATAGCTAGATTAAATATAAATCGTGTATTATTTCTTGAATTATGCTCTATGTCTAGTGATTCTAATGAAGACTTCCTGCTTTTGCCGACTCGTCTGTTGAAGCAAAGAAGAAAATAATGCCAGAAATCGTTACAATTGATCACAACCCTGGTCAGTTCTAAGTGTCCTAAAACAGACATGGCCCCCATGCAATCAACCCTGCCAAGAAATCTCAGACGTCATCCGGCAACATAATCGCTCAATGAAGGATCAAATTGGTGAACACAGCTGTATAGCCTCGAGATGATATACAAATATGACCCCTTGCTACTGCACGGGCAGATTCGACTTCTCAAAATCATTCCTGGAACTCAGAATGCCGTAGTTTCGAGCCATATGAGTGTCGTCAACCTTGACGACAACCCAACATACAAATGTCTGTCATATACTTGGGGGGAGCCGGGTGGAGACGAAACCGATGAGAGTTGGTCGAAGCCTTCTCAGACGATTCTCATTGACGGATTTGAGATGCATATCAGGCAGAACCTTTACAACGCCCTCATTGCGCTTTGTCAATCTGGAATTCTAGGCCCCATATGGATAGATGCTCTTTGCATTAATCAAAACGACATAGAGGAACGAAACGCTCAGGTTTCTCAAATGGCAAACATCTACAAAAGTGCCGAGGAAGTCATTGTATGGCTCGGTCATGAGAGAGAATACACCCAGACAGCAGTGGCTTGCTTTCAAAGATTGCCCATCACCCGCCAGGAGCTCCTTTCAGACGAGCATATCGTCTTGAGGGACAAAGCATTGGCATCATGCAGCTTCACTGACTCAGAACTGCTAGCCATGACACGTTTCTTCACTGACCATGCATGGTTTGGCCGGACATGGACACTTCAAGAGATGTGGCTAGCTCGAGAGATGACCTTTATGTGCGGAACAATCTATGCTTCTGTGGATGTTATCCTCGCGGGAAGCAGTATTGCACATGATAGCTACTCGTCGAGGAGTGTCACAGAAGACATCCAGAGGACCCCAGCGATTACGTGGCTGATGAACTTCACATACGACTTGATAGCCAAACTGAGGAAGGAAGTTGATAAAACTTCTCCTTCGCCACTTGGATTCGAGGTCGACTATCATCGTGCGAGGCATGCTACAGATCCTAGAGACAAGGTTTACGGTTTACTGGCAATATCAGGTAACTCGTCTCCGTTGCGAAAAAGAAAGGACTAGCTAATGAAATTCAGATACCACTACAGCGGGTGATTATATGGAACCAGTAGTTGCCGATTATTCAAAACCAGTCCGGGAGGTATTCTCGATAGCCGCAGCACATTGTCTACTCAATACAACAAGCTGGCGAGGTCTGAGTTATATCGGAGACCACAGTAGATACCGTATCCCAGATCTACCGTCCTGGGTTCCAGACTACACACAAGCTATTCCTTGGAGGCTTCTTCAACGAAGAAGTGAAGATACCTTCAAAACAGCAACTCACCAACAAGTCTGCATCGAGTACGACACCAACTCACCATACACTATCTACTCGCCATATTCTTATTTTGATACGATTACTGCCGTCACAACTGCATACTGGGAAGATATAGAGGGCTATTCCCAGATGGTTGAAATTCTCAATCTCGCTCTAAACCCATTTCCTGTCAAGACGTTTGGAGAAGACAATGTCTTGTCAGTAATGGCCAGAACCTTGACGGCAGATCAAGCAGGGATATATGACTATGATTCATATGACTTTGTTAGTCAATTTGGGGAAATGATATACGGTATGCTGTGGCTGAGCATTTCAAAGAACCCAGATATGGTATACGAACTGCTCAAAACCCCCAAGGCCAGTCTTTCCAAAGCTTTGATTTCGATAGGAATTCAGGACCGAGGAGACTTACTATCAAGTCTACTACACCCTTATCGACAACTGTGCAGAACAGAGGAACAAATAGAGTCAGAGTCTAAGCCCGCAGAGTCTCAAGACCAGAGCCTCAAGGCTCGAACCTCATTGATACAGCTTGACTGGGGCTCTGCATCACACAAGAGAACTCTCTTTCGAACGAACAAAGGACATCTTGGCCTTGCACCACAGACTATTAAGGTCGGTGACGAAGTGGGCATATTGCAAGGCGCCGAAGTTCCGCATGTATTTCGTCGAATTTCGGGTTCGGAAACATCGTTGAGTCTAGTCGGCGACGCATATGTTTATGGGATTATGCATGGAGAGCTGGAGTCCGAGGATCTGGAGTTCAGAAGGGTTCAGCTGGTTTAAATGAAGCTCATGGCTTGTCGATACTACTTGAGTGTTGCGGCGCCACGATCGAGCTGTCAAATGTCACTTTGACGTGGACGGCTTCACCCGAGTACGACGTTGGCGAGGTGATACGAGCGCCACGGTATCCATTAAGCTTAATTGCGATTGCACATGCGAGATGATACGAAAAACAAAGCCTTGTGCTGCGCATGGGAGGTTTGAACGTGATTAGGGCCATCATTATGTGTAATTCAACATTAACTAGGATATTCGAGCGTTCATAACATAACAAGAGATGGTATCAAAGCACTCGCGTGTATCCAATGCCTTTGTATACATTCATTTCTTTCTCCGTCGTGACGTGATTCATGATTTCATCTCATAAGTCGTGATGTTGCATGACGTGCTGATTATATCCATACGCCGTAACTCCTGTCCGCTTATCAGACCGATTGTGATCAATTGAACTGATGCAAAGGAAAAGCATCACAAGGTATCAAAGCGAAGGTTGCTCTGTCGCAAACGCTTATTGTCGTGTCGGTGGCGTAGGGCTTATACGTAATACCGGGAACTGCGATCAGTCCCATAGTATCCAGGCGATCGTCCACGGCGATGGCTTCGAGATCTCGACTCTCTAACGACGATTGGCGGAGGTGCAGAGATGCTCGAGCGATGCGATCGTCTACTTCGAGAGCGATGATGATGTGAATGTCGTCGAGGCTCCTCCTTGTAGTGATACCACTTCTCGCGTTCTTGAGGCGGTGCGCCCAGATTGAGACACGATCTAACAACCCAGAGGAGGAGAAGGAAGCCAGCAATTGAACCAATGACGATGCCGGCAATTGCGCCTCCACTCAATGTTTGGGCACTGTTGCCATTATCGCCGGATGCAGTAACAGTGACTGTTTCTGTATTTTGCCTAGCCACTAGAGTTGGAGGAAGAGACAGCGTTGGAGAAGAGAGGGCTCTGGCGAGGATGGCACCCAAGCCGAGATCTTGCGGGGAACTGAGCGGAGCCATTGATGATCAAAGACAGTGAGTGTCAGAGATACTTAGTGATGGACGAGCACAAGACGGTCAGTGTCGGTGAAGGGATGCAGCCTCATTTAAGTACAGCCTCTAGTGTCAATTAATGAGTGATTTAGCAAACCCAATTCTACTCAATGGGAGGCTGGGATAGCAAAAAATAATGGATGAACTGTAAATGAGAGGTTTTGGACGTCATAATATCATCAACATCACCGATCTCACTGCGACTCCCCGCTCACACGAGACCATAAGAACTCTACCTTAACCCTTGTACCTAGTCTTGGCTGGTTGTAGTAGCTATCACTAACCCTCCCGGTTAAAGTGTCAAAGACTCATTGTGGTGATTGATTGCCATGCTTATGACGTCTACAGCTTCTTTGTTCTCAGCCATATCCTTGCTCGTTTCGACTTAGCTCGGCCACTCAATTCAAGAAACTTGCTTAATTGATGCGCTAAGAAACGGCAGTGCCTGGAATTGATCCAAACGTAGGAGCTTTTGTTACGAAACTTTTGTCTCATTGGTCCGTGTTTTCCTTTTTTATGCTTGTCAATTGAGCCGAGGTTGATTGACATTCAAGGAATCAAAGAATTATCCACATTCACGTTCGTGGATCAGATTCAGCTGGGCAATTACATGTGCTGCTGAATGCTTGTTAATTGGATCTACCGAGGTCTATGCAAGATACACATCAGTTCATGCCCGAGACATCCGATCTTATCATTTGAGCCTCCAAGGTGGCTGGTTTCATATTGTGAAGAACTGATGGAGAATTTTCAACGACAAGGTCAGAGTACTCAACATTCTTAACCTCCAACAGGCCTCTTTAGTCAGTGAAGCCTTCCAATGTGTTTATTCAATGTCCTGTTTCGCTTCTGGAACCATCAACTCGTAAGCGGGTTATTGGGAATTCAAGATACGCAACAAGAGAACTCTCATATCTAAGGGCAGTCTGATGAAATTGGAATCTTTATGTACTATCTGATATCTACGAAAGAATTGGTTTTGATATTCTACAGCTGTTATCGACGATTCACTTGGCCTCTATTATCACGTCATCAGTGAATACCGTTCTTCGTAGCTATTACCATCATCCGGCCGAGAAGAGAAGCAACTATGTGTATTTTATTCAAAAAGTGACTTTTTGTATGCGATCTAATTAGGACAACCTCACATTATGCTCTATATAAGTCAGGCAACATCGCGATTCCCGACTGACCACAGTATCTGGACGGACAGACCACCACTACCAAGCACATTGTGACGAGGTGTTGCTATGGTCGTGAGTATGAAATAGTATTCATACTTTTTATGACTTTCAAGAAGGATAGGCCCTGATGTAGATTCATTGAAATCTGTCTCGACAAACAAAGAGAAAGAGAGAATCAGTATGTCACTGTATACAGATTATCTCCAGCCAGTATTATATCCTCTGACTCCCTACATAGGAACAATATCAGTCTATACTAATAAGATCTGCAGATAGACTATCAGATCTTATCTCACAATATCCTCAATCATGGTGTTTCAAGATCAATACGTGTACAATCCTATGTGGTCCTGTGGAGCGCGGTAAAGCGCGGCTATGAACGCGGACCGAATAAAGCACCAATAGACTCACATTCCGCCATCCCGGCTAACATTACTAAAATGAGGGTCGTTTGTGAACGACGTGGTCATGAGGTTCCTTGTTGGTGGGGATATTCGTGTAGGTTAAAGGGCGTTGAATATCTATATCTTTTGATAACGAACCCTCCTTGACCTTTATTAATTAAACCACTATCATCACACAGTATCGTCATCATGACTCGAACATATAGAATTGCTGTTCTAGAGTGCGATACGCCTTTTCCTTCTGTTAACGAAAAGCGCGGTTCTTATGGAGACATCTTTCGTGATCTTCTTACCAAGGGTCTCAAGAATGAAGCACTTGGTGACAAGGGCAAGGACGTGAGCCTGGATCTTAGCAAATGGGATGTTGTCACAGCACAAGAGTACCCAAAAATTGAAGATGTCGATGGCTTCTTGTTAACGGGCAGCAGTAAGTTTCTTTATCAAATCACGTCTGCAAAGCTAACAGGATGCAGAACACACATCCTTTGCTGATGACCCTTGGATCTTGAAGCTTGTTGAGTTTGTCAAGAAGGTCTATACGACGACGGAGAAGCCCATTGTTGGCATCTGTTTTGGCCATCAGATTATCGGACGAGCACTTGGTGCAAAGGTTGCGGTGAGCCCGGGTGGTTGGGAGGTTTGTGTTGACAGAATCAACCTCAACGAGACTGGCCAGAAGCTATTGGGTGTTTCATCTCTCGTAAGTACCACTCATCCTTCCCGTGAGTCCTCACTAATAAAAGAATAGGGCCTTCATCAAATGCACCGAGATGCAGTCCTCGAAGTTCCCGAAGGCCTGGTCAGCCTTGGCAGCAGCTCAAGGTGCGAGGTTCAAGGACTCTACAAGCCTGGGCGTATCATCTCATTCCAGGCTCATCCGGAGTTTGACGACTTTATCATGCAAGAGATCATGGAGGCCAGATATGCCCAGCAGATCTTCTCAAAGGAGATGTATGAGGAGGGTATAACGAGAGCGAGGGCGCATCATGATGGACTTCTAGTGGCTGCGAAGATTTGGGAATTCCTTCTTTAAACAATTAGACAATAGAACATGCTATATTTGACCAAGTCCACCGCGGCTTTCTTCATAAGTGATGGCAATGGTTTGAAGATGAGCTCGTTGATGTGATCATTTCCACGGCCAGGCTGGCTGCGCATAATGAGTTCAAAAGAATTGGTGGCGACCGTCATATATACGGCATCTTAATTGCATGTGCCTCAAGGACTCTATTTTTATATATCGAGGCGGGTATCTAGGATTAATGTTGTCCTTTCATGCAAAAGATATCCAGATCTGACGCTCACGCATCGCCCTACATAGCGTCCAAGGACTGACTTGGTCCGGCGGCTGCTCCCAAATATGCTCCAGTAGCACCAGTGTTTGTCTCATATTCCCCAGACCAATTGTGTCTAACATAGTCTGCAGCCGCGTCCTCAGGACCTGCTGGACTGTGGGATCTGACGTGCTACACCCGATAACAGCGAGTGGCCAGCAGAGACTCGTATTTATCCTGACCGAAGCGGGGAACTGATCAAGCAATGCCACTGCCTCGGCGACGGCCGATTCTACTAATGCTCGTTGGAAGCTGCCTTCAGGTTGCTGATAGGGTTTCCCGAGGACTGTCCAGAGATATAGGAGGGCAGCTTGTTTCCATACCAGCCCCGCAAGACGTGTATATGGTGTGACGGAAGGATCTGGGAAGAAGCCCATCACTTGAGATTGAAGGAAAGCGAAATTGACAATGTTGTCGGGGTTTGGTGAGACCTCTCCATCGGCAGTCGGTGAAGACATGACTTGTCCTAGGTGAAAGATCTGGGATATAAGAATGAGGATTTCGAGCCAGCAGCCACATAGTTGGCCGACGTACTTCCTTGCGACCAAGTTTCTGGCCCGGACTTCAATATCGGGGCTGAGCAATGACTGTGAGTTATACTGGGGATCAATCGAGATCATACTGGTGCCTGCGATATGCATGTAGTACTCGATTAGAAAGTCTGGTAAGTCGTCGTATACCATGTTCTGCGTCCCCGTGAGTAACGTGCTCACTAATGACTTGGACGCTGTTAGATGGTCAAATATTGTGCCGTGGATGTCTCCCTTGGCAACCTGCAGCATGTTAGTCAACAATCGGGTCGTGGCATCAATGATACGAACCTCAGTCAAACACATAATAAGACTGCCGACTGTCAAGACAAGAGTGTTCTCGGCATTTCCAGACACATACTCATCGACGACATTCCTAAACATCCGCAGTGAGTCGGTGTAATATCTCTGAGCAATCTCATCGCTTGGATGTCGCTCTGCTGATGCCTGGCGATGTGCAGCACTCTGAGCGAGGATAAGTTGTAACACAAGAGGTTTTGAGAAGGCCAATGGTATAAGCTTGGCGATGAAGGGATTCACGTCTGTGGAACCGTTGCCCATGCTATTGGCCGTTCGTGACAGGTAGTAACTGAGAAGCTCATATGACTGATGTCCCTGCTCAGGTAGCATCGACATTGGCATAGTAATGGCTCCATTGAATGGGAGACCTGTGTCTGGGGACGGCGGCAGAGCGAGAGTGAGAGCGTTGGCGGTATCTGCATCCCATGTTGTGATAACAGTCGGTGAGTCTGATGAGTTGGATGACTGCGAAGGAGATGGCTGATCAACATCATCAACAGCATTGATGATATCCACATCAGCTTCAGCATCGACCATGTGGGTGTCCCCTTGCCCTTGCACTTGCCCATGCACCGGAGAACTGTCGCCATTCTGGGGTACATCGGGATTCTCAGCAGCTCCGTCCTCCTCCGGCACCGGGTCCGGTATGACCGGGTCATTCACCGAGTCCGCATCGTGGCCCTGTCTCAGCGAAGCAACGCTCTGTTGTGAGCTTGTAGATGCAGCACCAAATGAGGACCGCGATGGCCCCTTGGCAGGCTGTGGTTCAGGCCAGACACAGTCGAGCTTATTGCGCTTGCAACCGCTGCAGATTGGTTTACTGCATCATCACGTAAGTCAAGTCGAGTCAAGATGACTGTCTGGAGAGTGGTTGGTAGTACCTCTCGTCGCACTTCTTTTTGCGTTTCCTACAGGTAAAACAGCCCGTCCTACTGCGGATTATAGGCACGGGACGCATCGAGGAGGGGTTTGGGGTTGGGTTTGGTGGTGACGGTGACATATTGAGCCCTCTTTTTTTTTTTTTGCCACCGAGAAAAGACTCGGTGACAAAGCAAGCGGATTGCTTGGCTTTGAGTGAGTGGTACAGGTACAGTACAGCGCGGTTAGAGGTGAACGCAGGCACAATCAGGTGCAATGCAAATCGGATGGAGGCTCCGGAATAAGCGAAACGAACCGTAAAGCAACGTCCGTGGCCTTGGGAGTGGATCGTGTTTGTTTTTGTTGTGGGGGAGTCAAGTCAGGTCAAGCCCAAGGCCACTTCGCTCCAGCAACTTGACGTACGTGACGGGAATAATTGGCTACCCTGTACCAAGCCACTTCATCCCCGTTCACCGAGTCAGCTTCTAAAAGTGTTCTAGGCTCCGAGATAGCGCATGTACCGTCAGGTAACTCACTCCCGGCCCTCCAAGACCAAGCCTCCGAGGATCAGGTGGGACTCGTCCACCCCCCGCTTTAGATCTCGACTCAGTGACGTTTGATAAGATTGACTCGGTGACATTGGCCATGAGGTACGTACCGGCATCTTGATCTCATACTCCGGTCATGGAACTCATGAGCCGAAGGCGGCGGACAAGGACATTCTTATTAGATCTTGTGCTGCTCTAGCTTGGACTTGTTGCTTGAGACTGTATCGTAATTTCATCTTATTTTTTCTTTTCTCTTCAGTTCATACAGAGATACCCCTCATCATACACATCATGATGAACTTGAGGCTCCTTCGGCAGCAATGCCTTCGCACAAAGCCATCTCTGGCCAGCCGTGTCACCACCAGGACATTTGCTTCTCAGTCAGATGTAAGTCTTGAATGAAGCCACGTCCAACAATATCTTAACACTCTACAGCTTCTCGGTGCCAACCTCGAGCAAGGCGACCCTGAGATCCACGCCATTCTCAAGCGTGTAAGTCACTCCCCATATACCAAGTGACCCAATCTCACACCATTATAGGAAGAGAAGCGCCAGAACCACTTCATCAACCTCATTCCCTCCGAAAACTTCACTTCGCGATCCGTTCTCGATGCTCTAGGTAGTGTTATGCAGAACAAGTACTCCGAGGGTTATCCTGGCGCACGATACTATGGTGGTAATGAACACATCGATGAGGCAGAGCGTCTGTGCCAAAGACGTGCCCTCGAGACCTTCCGACTTGACCCTGAGAAATGGGGTGTCAATGTTCAGCGTGAGTCTCGACTTGACGTTCAATTCTTTGTTCAATGCTAACGGCCTCAGCCCTCTCTGGATCCCCTGCCAACCTCTACGCCTACTCTGCTATCCTCAACACTCACGACCGTATCATGGGCCTTGATCTTCCCCACGGAGGTCATCTCTCCCACGGCTACCAGATCCCAAACAAGAAGATCTCCATGGTCTCCAAGTACTACGAGACCTTCCCCTACCGATTGAACGAGGAGACTGGTCTGATCGACTACGACAAGCTTCGCGAGAACGCTCTTCTGTACCGTCCTAAGGTTATCGTCGCTGGCACATCCGCCTACTCCCGCCTGATCGATTATGAGCGCATGCGTGCTATCGCCGATGAGGCTGGTGCTTACCTTCTGTCTGATATGGCTCACGTGTCTGGTCTTGTCGCTGCTGGTGTTATTGGAACACCCTTTGAGGATTCCGATATCGTTACCACCACCACCCACAAGTCCCTTCGTGGACCTCGTGGTGCCATGATCTTCTACCGCAAGGGCGTTCGAAGCACAGACAAGAAGGGCAAGCAGATCATGTATGATCTTGAAGGCCCTATCAATGCTTCAGTTTTCCCCGGTCACCAGGGTGGTCCTCACAACCACACCATCACCGCTCTCGCTGTTGCCCTTCGCCAAGCTCAGACACCCGAGTTCAAGCAGTACCAAGAAAAGGTCCTCGAGAACTCACAAGCTCTGGCCAAGCAACTCTCTGAGGGTCTGGGCTACAAGCTCGTCTCAGGCGGTACCGATAACCATCTCGTCCTCGTTGACCTCAAGCCCAAGGGTGTTGACGGCGCGCGTGTCGAACGTGTTCTCGAGCTCGTCGGCGTTGCCAGCAACAAGAATACTGTTCCCGGTGACCGCTCCGCCCTCAAGCCCGGTGGCCTTCGTCTCGGAACACCCGCCATGACAACGCGGGGCTTCAATGGCGAGGACTTCAAGCGCGTGGCTGATATTGTGGACCGCGGTGTGCAGATCACTCTAGCGGTTGATAAAGACGCCCGCGCGGCTGCTGAGGCCAAGGGTGCTAAGAACCCCGGTACCGTGAAGAACTTTTTGGAGTTTTTGGGTGATGGATCTAATGTCAAGGAGATCAAGGCGCTACGAGATGAGGTCGCTGAGTGGGTTGGAGGGTTCCCCCAGCCCTGGCTCAAGTCATGATGTTTTTGATGAAGAGTACAGATCATTTTTGGCGTTTGGAAAATAGTATCATAGCAAAATTTACATGAGTTTAAAGAGTATATTGCATGATTTCACCAAACTTGCTGTGTTGTAGTTGTCTTGATCATCCATGTTGTAATCATGATGGGCCAGATTAGAATGCTGCAAGTTAAGCTGTTTGGACAGCATCACGCACGACTGTGTAATAGCCGCCACTTCAATGGTCATGTAAGTCTGGTGACAACTTGCTCCAGTAGTAATTGACCCAATTGACTAAAATTACATGATAAAATTGCCTTGCACTTCATTCTCCGTAGTCAAACTCCGAATATCTCCCCTCCTCGGAATTCCAAGTCTTCCCCGCATACCCAAAAAAATATTTCAGGGCTCTTGGGATCTGGATCTGGGGTTATCGGTACTTGACTCAGTGAAAGATGCTAGTAGCCAGTACCTTTCACAAGCGGCTAAAGCAGGTTACACCGCCCATCATGACAACTTTTTGGCGAGATAAGCGGTACCGCTACTTGAAGCAGTGGGTACACTGAAGTAGCGCTCATGACCTGATTCTCCAACTGTTATGACACTACGAGGCGCCGCTTGAACTGGGGCCGGATAGTGACTCCGAGGTACTTGACCGGAGCGCGGCCGAAGACGGGGGATGAGAAGTGCTAGGGATCGTAAATGGGGAGTAGGTCACCTAAAATCAATCACCATCAACATTATCACAAACATTCGCATTCACTCATTCAACCTCAATTCATCCCTCATACTCACTACCTCCCTCCCTCACTCTCCCACTCACCCACTCACAATGTCTGGTCTCTTTGCTCGTCAAGCTTGGGCTTCTGCCTCTAAGCTCCGATCTACTGCTCTTCGAGCTCCCAAGACTGCCTTTGCCTGCAGAGTCAACAGCATTGCTCCCCGACGATGCTTCTCAGTTTCCATGAACCGTAAGTTCTGCCTCCTTTTTCAAGCTCAATCAAATCTAACAGACTCTAGTCCTCGCGAGGAAATACACTGAGAGCCACGAGTGGGTTGACGTCGCCGCCGATGGCAAGACCTGTAAGTTCCTTTGTCTGTACCAACTAAATCTCATCAATTGACATCCCCAGGCACAATTGGCATCTCCAACTACGCTGCTGAAGCTCTCGGCGACGTCGTCTATGTGGAACTTCCCTCTCAGGGCGAGGAAGTCTCTGAGGGCGAGTCTTTCGGCAGCGTTGAGTCAGTCAAGTCTGCCTCTGACATCAACTCCCCTGTATCAGGCTCTGTCGTCGCGGTCAACGATCCTATCGTCGACACACCCGCTGATCTGGGAAATGATCCTGAGGGCGAGGGCTGGTTGATCAAGGTTGAGGCTGAGGATGTTTCTGCCCTTGATTCATTGATGGACGAGGCTGCTTATGCTAAGCACCTTGAGGAGCATTAAGCGATGGTTTTTGGTTAGATTAAATAATTGGTGATTTAAAAGCAAATGATATCATATTTTTCACATACATCTTCGGTGTTCCAAGGCACAATCCCGTAGACCGTGTACATGTTTGACCATAATAATGGCCAAGTCTTGGAACATGAGATACTGATTGTCCTACAGACCACTTTACTTCTCAACAAATGGTAAGATTGCTTGTAAATTTGAACTCATAAATTTCTAGTTTTAGAACTTTTATTCTAATCTCATCATATATCGCAAAACTCCGCCAATACAGAGATCAGTTCGCCGTGGTTGAATAGCTTCCCAAAAACCATTCCATCCATATGCATGTCAGGGGCCCATCATGGTTGAATATGATATATCTTTTCCCGCTTAAATAAATTAAAAAGAAATCGCTTAATATGACCCGTCCACCATCTATCGTTAAACCATTACTTCTTGCTTTTCATTTACAAGTTCTCAGATCCCTCAACAGGGGGGCATGTGCAGAACAGGTTGGTGTCACCATAAGCATCGTCCACGCGTCCCACAGAGGGCCACATCTTCTTCTCCCGGAGCCAAGGCAAGGGATAAGCAGCCTCCTCACGGGTGTAAGGGCGGTCCCACTCGGAAGAGAGAAGGTCTTCTTGAGGGTGGGGAGCGTTTGTGAGGAGGTTGTTCTTGCGGGGAACCTTGCCAGACTCAACATCGGCAATCTCTTGTCGGATCTGGATGAGAGCATCACAGAAACGGTCGAGCTCAGCGCGGGACTCGGATTCTGTGGGCTCGATCATGAGGGTTCCTGAAACGGGGAAACTCATGGTGGGGGAGTGGAAGCCATAGTCTGCAAGACGCTTGGCGATGTCTGCAACTTCAACTCCGGCGGTCTCCTTGAAGGGACGAACGTCCAGGATGAACTCGTGGGCGCAGCGGCCATTAGCGTTAGTGTAGACGACCTTGTAGTGGGGTAGGAGACGGGACATGATGTAGTTGGCGTTGAGGAGGGCGGTGCCAGTTTGCTTGGTAAGACCATCTCCGCCCATCATGAGGATGTAGGTGTGGCTGATGGGGAGAATGGAGGCGCTACCCCAAGGAGCGGCGCTGATGGGAGCAACGGCTGTGCTATCACGTTCGGCACCAATGCGCTGAGGATCAATCTCGGGGTGACCGGGGAGGTAAGGGGCAAGATGCTTCTTAACAGCGATAGGGCCGACACCAGGGCCACCACCGCCGTGGGGAATACAGAAGGTCTTGTGGAGGTTAAGATGGCAGACATCAGCACCAATGTCACCAGGGCTGCAGAGACCAATCTGAGCGTTCATGTTGGCACCGTCCATGTAGACAAGACCGCCATGCTCGTGGACAAGATCACAGACTTGCTTGATCTCAGGCTCAAAGACACCGAAAGTAGAGGGATAAGTAACCATGATAGCAGCAAGCTCATCAGCGTGCTTGGCACACTTGGCCTTGAGATCCTCGATATCCAGGTTACCAGTCTTGCCGTCACACTTGACAGTAATAACCTTCATACCAGCCATGGCAGCAGAAGCAGGGTTGGTACCGTGGGCAGAAACAGGGATAAGGCAGACCTTTCGCTTATCCCCATCACGAGCCTCGTGGTAAGCCTTGATACAGCGAAGACCAGCAAACTCACCCTGAGCACCAGAGTTGGGCTGAAGAGTGGTAGCGTCCATACCGGTGATCTCAGACAAGTTCTTGGCGAGAGAACTGATGAGGGCTTGGTAACCAGAAGCTTGCTCAACGGGGGCGAAGGGGTGGATGTTGTTGATACCGGGGTCGGAAACAGGAAGCATCTCGGTTGTGGCATTGAGCTTCATTGTGCAGGAACCAAGAGGAATCATGGAGTGAACGAGGGAGACATCCTTGGACTGGAGGTGGTAGATGTATCGAAGAAGCTCGGTCTCGGTGTGGTATTGATTGAAGACAGGCTGCTCGAGGTAGCCGGTCTTTCGCTGGAGAGAAGCAGGGATTTGGTCATTGAGTAAGGTAGCTTTATCAGACTCGAGAGCAGACTTGAACTCAGCCTCAGAAACGCCAAAGGCCTTGACGAGGTTGCCGAGGCTCTCAAGGGTGACACCCTCATGAAGAGAGAAGCCAACCTTGTCCTCGGCAACACGGCGAAGGTTAATGTTCTGAGAATCAGCGTTCTTATGAACCTTGGCAATGGCTTCAGGAGATCCCTTGAGAGTGACAGTGTCGAAAAGAACAGCACCATCCTCACGGAGACCCTCGGTGTGAAGCTTAAATTCGCCCTTCTCAAGGATCAAGCTCTGGGCAAGACGGGTCTTGCTCCAGATATCCTCAGCAATGGTCTTAAGACCCTTAGGACCGTGGTAGACAGCGTAGAAAGCAGACATATTGGCAAGAAGAGCCTGAGCAGTGCAGATATTGCTAGTAGCCTTCTCACGACGAATATGCTGCTCACGAGTCTGGAGAGCCAGGCGAAGAGCAGGCTTACCGAGACGATCCTTGGAAACACCAACGAGACGGCCAGGAATCTTGCGCTTGTATTTCTCAGATGTAGCGAAGAAAGCAGCGTGGGGACCACCGTAGCCCAGAGGAACACCGAAACGCTGGGAGTTACCGATGGCGATGTCGGCGCCAAACTCTCCAGGAGGCTTGAGCATGGTGAGAGCGAGAAGATCGGTTGACGCGCTGAGAAGAGCTTTCTTCTCATGGACAATGTCGGCGAGAGCTTGGTAGTCATGAACACCACCGTGGGTATCGGGATACTGAATCAAGGTTCCGATGAGATCGCCTTCAACTTCGCGGACGAGCTTGGAGTTGTCGGCGAGGACATCGCCAATGACGAGTTTGATGCCGAATCCCTCAGCCCGGGACTGGAGGACGGCGATGGTCTGGGGGTGGCAGTCCTTGGAGACGACAAAGACCTTCTGGCCCTTGCCCTTGGGGGCGTTAGCCATAGACATGGTCATGGCCTCGGCAGCGGCGGTGGCTTCGTCGAGAACAGAGGCATTGGCGATGTCGAGACCAGTCAAATCGGTGATAAGAGTCTGGAAGTTGAGGAGAGACTGAAGACGGCCCTGGCTGATCTCAGCTTGGTAGGGGGTGTAGCTGGTATACCAGGCAGGGTTCTCGAGAACATTGCGCTGGATGACAGCAGGGACAAGAGTTCCATAGTAACCAGCACCAATGAAAGACTCGTAGACCTTGTTGTTCTTGGCAAGTTTTCGCATTTCCTGCTGGATGTAGTGCTCAGTGCGACCATTGGGGGGGACAGCAGCTTCCTCGCCACCCTCATACCACTGTTCAACGAGGTTGAGGCCCTTCTGTTTCCTCCGAACCTGCGGGGGGATAGTCTGCTCGAGAAACTCCTCCATGGAGTTCACAGGAGGGTCCAGGACCTTGAGCATTTCTGCCTGTTCGCTGGACTCGCTGCCAATGTGCCTCCTTGAGAAGAGCTCATGATCTTGCAGCTTAATGCTGCTCTGTGAGTCGACAAAGCGAGGGGCATTGACTTGGGCTGTGACTGAGAATGCCCGGGATACGCCATTGAGACGGATCGACTGTGTGAGGCGTGGTTGAAGGGTGATGGGGGAACGAC